AATTAAAACAACACTGAGATTCCACCTTACCCCAGTAAGAATGGCTAGCATTAAGAAATCAACCAATGACAAATGCTGGCAAGATTGTGGAGAAATAGGGACCATCCTCCTCTGCTGGTGGGAATGCAGACTGGTGAAACCACTGTGGAAATCAGTTTGGAGATCCCTCAGAAAACTAGGTCCAGAGGTCCCATTCAACCCAGCGGTTTTCCCAGAAGATCTAAAAACATCATATCACAGTGATATATGTGCACCTAAGTTCATAGCAGCACAATTTGTAATTGCTAAAATGTGGAAGTAACCCAAATGTCCATCTACCAAGGATTGGATAAGAAAATTGTGGTGCTTTTACATAATGGAATATTACTCAGCTGTAAAGAAAGATAAACTTGACTTGATTTTTTGTTGAGAAGTCTGCTCTGATTTTGATGGGCTTTCCTTCATAGGTGATTTGTTTCTTTTCTCTAACAGCACTTAATATTCTGTTCTTATGTTGAATTTCTGGAATGTTTACTGCTGTGTACCTTAGTGTATATTTTTTATCACAGATAATTGTGGTTCCATATCCTTCCCTTATCTGTATGTCAAAAAAATTTTTCCCTGCTTAGAAAATTTTTTGCCATTACTTTTATGAACTGATTTATTTATGTCTTTTGCACTACCTCTTTCTTTTTCATTGACTCTGATCAATCATATGTTATTCTTCTTTGCATCATGTGGAATGTACTTGAATAACTGTCTGTGGTCCCTTGTTATTTTAAAGAAATCTTTGTTTTTGTGGTTTCTTTTGTTTTGTTTTGTTTTCATAGTTTCTAACTGCAACCCTGTCTTCTATATATGATATTCTGTCTTTGCATTGGATCATTTTGTCTTTGGTAAGCTGGAAGTCTGAGATTTCATCTTTCTTTCATGTTTTCTCCCTTTTTAGTTTTTAGTTTAGTTTTTGCATTGATGCATGAAGTTGCTTATTGCGAATAGCTTTATTGTTAATGTTGAGAATCCTTAGGAAATTATTACTTCTCAGAGATGTCTTCCGAGTGTAGCTGGCTTCTGAGCTTTGAGTCTGTTGCTACATCCTACCCACTTGATGTATTGGGGATGAGAATTTGTTGCCTATTTGGCCCAGCTCCTGATTCTTTGGCACTGACCTATACCATTTATGACTGTTAGGCAATCTCAGAAGACTTGATTGGAGCAGTTATGTCATGTTGGCTAAAGTAGTATAATTAGCAAAACAATAACATCAAACACAGCCTAGAAAATGACAAACTATGGTAACTCTGGATTTGCTAAATTTAACCATATTTACTACATTTCTGGCTATACATCATAATGTAAAACAATCCAGAAAATTGTATACAGTAAATATACTTTCAATATGGAGATTTTACCTCAAGGGGTAAAATTTAAAATGGGTTAGAGGGAAAATAGAGAACTAGAAGACACAGGAATAGATTATAGGCAAAGCTGGAGGAGAAAAGAAGATTACACAAACTGGGAAATGGGTAAAGATAGAAGGAAAGAAAGAAAGGCAAAATGTAAACAAGAACAGAAGAACAACGAAAAATCTAGAAACAAAGTTCATAAGACAAAGTTCATTCTCATAAAAAAATGAGAAACACTAAGAAAAAAAAATGCTAAAAAGGAAACAGAAAACCACAAACTAGAAAAGAAAAAAGAAGAAAATAAAAATAAAAATGTCTCCTTCTAGGTATACATCTGCTGTTACTGGTAGACAAAATGAGCAGACAGAACTCAGTTCATCCCAGTGAGGTAGCCATATATTTTCACTTGGGTAGTGGATAATCTCAGAAAACCTTCACCTTTAGTTCTACTAATGCTCAGATTGGTTTTGACTGCGAGGCTGAAATCTGATTTATCTAGCTGGAACTACCTCATGTGCCTCCTGCCAGCTTGAACTTGACTCCTTCACCTCCTGCTGGCTTGAACTTAGTTCTTTCTCACCCTATCACTGGGAGCTGCTAGATGCTCCTGAAAGTTACTCTCCCACTCTGAATTTAAAATTCCTCCAGAATTTAATCACAACTTTACAACAATGACAACAAAATATGAAATACATCTTGTTCCAAATCCCGTTTCACATATGACAAAACTGAGGGCCAGTAAATTAAATATCCTAAATAGCTTTTTATTTTCCAGGAGGTATCCAAATTGTTCTCACCTTGAGACAACTGCCTTTCTTCTGTTCTTTCATTTGAATGCTCTCCCCCACATACTTCTTATAACCAAGCCATGTTGGTATAACTGTCTTCTGCTCAATTATGTTCACATATGTCAATATATACACTTTTCCTAACTATACTTCTGAGCTACCCACATTTTTATCTTATAGGCTGAAAACATACCCAATATATCCATGGGTAATTTCCCCAACTGTCCCGAAGTACCCTAGCCAGTGATGATCTCTCCATTCTTGAGACATTTATAATATTGTATGTTTTCTTTTTTATTTTAGAAATAAAAGAAGGAGAGCATATTAACAAACAGATATACATTTACAAAATAGCATAAGAACAATACAAGCAATACAGAGTTACAGACAAAGTCATATTTAATATTTGTTGGGTCTTTGTTCTGCCTTCATTATGTAAGACACTGTGTGGATTTTTGGTATAGATTTTCTTCTTTTGAGGGGGTTTATCTGAGACCTGTTATCACTGTATGATGAAGACTGGCCATGAACTTGCTTTTGTAGCCCAGGCTGGCCTCAAACTCACAGGGATCCTCCTGCTTCAGCCTTCAGATTGCTAGGATTACAAGCATGTGCTACCATGCCTGTCTTGGTATAGATTTTCATAATGAAATGTAACATTTTTTATACAACTCTTGAAATGAGTATGCCATCTACAAACCCATATTATACATTCCTTGAGGAAAAAGCATCAGGGTCTATGCACTATTTCTAGTATATATCATGATAGTATTAAATATAAAACTGTCAGCTAAATAATTGTATATCCCTATTTGAATAGATCTGAGAAATATGTATGTGCCATAGGAACAAACCGAAAGACTGTGAATAAAATATTAACTGATAATGAAATGTCTGTCTGTTCACTATCTATGTCAGTTTTGAACAGATGATTAAATAAAACTTTTCTTAAGATGTTTGAAAAAATGCAGAGATTAAAATGCAAAGTTTATGTAATTTCACTGGGCCCATCATCAGTCCTTTGCTCAGACTGCCAGGTCACCTATTTTTTAAATTTTTTCTTTGATTCTTATTTTCCCAAAGGGTATTGTATTTTATTTTAGCAAAGACTAGAAAACAAAGAATTTGTTTATAGTATAATGTTAGTTTCCATCTTCACAGAATATTTTCCCTTTTGTCCTTATTAGTGTGTTACCTTATTTCTGTAACTCCTCTTTTGATATGTTCTCATGCCTTTTACATATAAAGGAAGGCTTCAGTAATGATCTTTGCTTAGGACAAATCTAAAAGCAAATATTATTGATAGCTGGTTTACTTCAAGATGAGATTTAAAAAATATGTATTACTTAGTGGAAAAAATTAGCAGATTTTGCTTCATCAAACCCAAAAAATAGGGTAAAAACATACATAAACATGTAAATACTTATATTTGTACATCAGATTAAGCACTAATCAACTGTAAATGATAAAATGATGTTTTTTCTTATTATATTTGATCATGTTATATTATGTGTATCCATATACATTTGTAATGGATAAATTCACTGCAGTCAGAACAATGTGAAATCTTGTTTTCTAAAGAACATTAGTAACAAAAGAGGTAAAAACCTTATTTACTAAAGAACATTAGTAGCAAAAGAGGTAAAAATGTGGAAAGATAGAAAATAAAACCAACAATATATGTAGAGAGTGCAAGTTTTGGTGATTAGCAGATAGACTTTATGACAACCTGAAAAATGAGGACATAACTGAGTGATAATTTTAAAATGCAAATCAGGCACAGGTAATGGATATCCTGCACCAAACTCAGATGTATATTCTGTGTAAAATACACAGCAAGCTAGAAGTGAAGATTAAAACCAAAAATTATTGAAGTTATGAGAAAGGAAAAAACAAGAGGCCACCTCGTCATACTAAGAGGAAAAAGTAGCAAATATTCCAATAAAGAGACATAGAAGAAGGCAAGCAAATTTAAAATTTAATGTGGAATATTTTGGACAGGATATATCATATCAGTAAAATAAGATAATATTTTAGATGTTTTATGACCTGTTTAACAACAATAAAATCTTTGGATATTAGAAATCTTGAATGTTCTTGCTGTTTGACATTTTCATTTTTAACCCAGAAAAACACAATGCTATTCTTTTGCATTGTCTTCTTTTTTTGTTTCTTTCTTTTTCCTTGTTTTTTGGTTTTTGTTTTGTTTTATTTTTGTTCATTTCTTAAAATGCATTTTGGACTTTTCAACACTGAGGGTAAAGAAGGTCTTACTTGGCTTTGTGTTTGAGGTTATACTGGTAACCTTTGGATCAATGCTCAGAATTTTTGTAATCATTTCCAAGTTTATGTTTATTTTATTAGATTTTTGGTTTTATAAATCTCTGCTATAACATAGATTATCTGGGTGGGGTAATCACTTTAAAATGATATACTTTATCACAATTAAAACCATTGATTTTGATCATTAGATATTGCTCAACTATAAAATCCACATTATTAATAATTCTATCAAACTTCTGCAAATATATAAAATCAGATAGTGATGTTATTTTATTCTATTATATAATATTTGCCATATATATTAATAATTAACATTTTAATATCTTATAAATACAAATTTTATTGTGTACCATAAACATTTTAATACATTTTATTTACCTGTAAAGTGTTAATTATGTTGTTAAAAATAAGCAACATTTTGTCTTCTACTACAGTAACTTATTAGAAATTTTCTTTAATTAAACATTAAAACACCATTGTGCTTCTCAGGATTGTGATTCTACAGATACAATGTAACTTGCTTAATTTTCCAGTTGTATGGTGTTGAGCATTTAACAGCCCCCACTGTGGATATGAAAGGTAATTCGATAAGTTTATAAATTTTGTACTGCAAATATACCCACCATATTTGACGTTATATCTGTATAACATGATTATATAAAGATTTGAGCATACAGGAGTATAATAATCTCCAGCACATCATTCAATTAGACATTTTCATTGCTTATTGAATATGAAGATGCTGAACTTTGTGACATGTAAATATGTGTGCTATTGCTTTTTTGAAATTTTTAAATTTTTTGTTTGTGCATATTTCTGATAGTTTATTATATATGTGTGTGTGAAAGAAATCATATTTTCAAAGTCTAACATTTTTAAAGATCATGATCAATAGTTTCAAAAATATTCAAATCATATTTTCATCATTATTATATGAGATGACTGATTTTGGATTTTTTCCCCAAAAGAATCTTTATTCAAATAAAAAAGAGTGAAAATAAGTAGAAGCCAGCAATTATTTATAAATTATAGGTCTTTTCACTTTGCAACCTGAATATTAAAAGGAAGTAAAACATTACATTTTATCAGACATTAGCTAAATAATAAATCTGTTTTCCTTATGTAAGCAATGCAAGCAGAGTTAGAGTCTGATTATGGGAACAGTGATGAGAGGGAGAGAAGAGGGAGGCAGACTGATGGACTGATTGATCGTATGATTACTTTGAAACTCGAAGAAAAGCCCGCAAGCCAAATGATGTAGGCAACTTCTAAGAGCTGGAAAAGAATAAGAAACGATCTTCCCTAGAGTTCGCAGAAGGAATGCAACACTACTGAATCATTTTAGGTTTCTGATCCCCTGAAGTGTAAGATAAAAAATTATATTAATTATGCTACTGAGTTTGTGGTAATTTATTACAGCAGCTATGGGAAACTATGCCATCTATGAGAAAACTACTGCAGTACATTGATATACAAAGTGAAAAAAAGATATTGCAGTAATTTTTAAAATAAAGCAGGTGTGACTATATTAGCATCAGAAAAAGTACACATTAGAACACAAACAAGTGATATATGTTTGAGATTACTGATGCATTAATTATACTGATTTGATGACTGTACATTTTATGCATGTATTGCAATAATGAATAGTGTATATATATATATATATATATATATACACACACATATATATATATTCCCAAAAGAAAAGCATCAAGCCACAGTGATATAAGTGATATATGTGCACCCATGTTTATACCAGCACAGTTTGTAATAGCTAAATCTTGGAAAAAACCAAATGCCCATCAACTGATGAATGGCGAAAGAAAAAAAAAAAATATATATATATATATGATGGGGTACTACTCTGTCAAAAGGAAGGATATGCTGGAGACATCTTTAGCTACCTGGATACATCTTGAGGCCATATTCTTAAGTGAAATACATGAGAAGTCCATGTTAAAGTACTACACTGTGTCTCTGGTGTAAGAAAGCAAAAGTATAAATAACAAAATATAAAATAGAAATTTTTCAATATAGAGATATTTTACTTACTTTGTTAGATGGATTCCTAAGTACTTCATTTTTCTCAGGGTTATTGTGAAAGATGTGATTTCCCTAATTTGCCCCTCAGTGAGTTTTTATTTGTGTACAGGAATGCTATTGATTTTAGAGTGTTGACTTTATATACAGCTATGCAACTGAATCTGGTATATGATACTCTACTTTATGTGGAGAATTATATCATCTGCAAATAACGATAGTTTAAATTCTTTTTCCCCATTTTTATCCTTTGATTTCTTACTCTTGTCTAATTGCTCTAACTAATGTTTCCAGTACTATATTGAATAGGAGTGGTGATAGTGGATATCCTTGTTATGTTCTTGATATTAGAAAGAAAGCTTTCGGTTTTTGACCATAAAGAAATGAAAGAAGAAAGAAAATGGAAAGACACCTTTTGCTCATGAATTAGAAGACAAACAGTAAAAATGGCCATACTCTCAAAATTGATATACAGATTTAATGTAATCCCAATCAAAATAAACTATGTACCTCACAGAACTGGAGAAAACATTCCTAAAATTCATTTCGAGGGCTGGGGATTTAGCTCAGCGGCAAAGCGCCTGCCTGGCAAGCGCAAGGTCGTGAGTTTGGTTCCCGGTACCTGAGAAAAACCAAAAAAAAAACCAAAAAAAAAAAAAAAACAATTCATTTCGATTCTGAAGAGACCTAGAATAACATAAACAGTTCTGGGCAAGAAAGGTAAAGCAGGGATCATTACAATCCCGGACTTGAAATTATACTACAGATCTACTGTGATAAAAACATCAGTGGAACAGATAGCAGAGGCAGAAACAACTTCCAACACTTAGTCATCTTGTCTTTCGTGAAAGGACCAAACACTTTTATTGGAAGAAAGAAAGGCTCTTTAGTAAATGGTGCTGGAAAAACTGGCTTTCCACATGTCAAAAACTAAAACTATACCTATAAACGTCACCATGCACTAACCTAAAATCAAAATAGTTGAAAGATCTCAGTGTTAAACTAGAAATACTAAATCTGCTGGAAAATAAAACAGGTAGAACTATTGAAGATACAGGTATAGGCCAAGGTTTAATGAACAAAACTCAGATCACACAGGAAATACTACAAAGAGTTAACAACTGTGATCTTATCTTATTTTAAAGCTTTTGCACAGCAAAATAAATCACCAACAGAATGAAAAGGCAACACACAGAGTGGGAAAAATATCCTAGCCAATTATTCTTCATATAACGTACTAATAGCTACAACATATAAAGAATTCAAAAATTAGACCCCTCAGATTAAAAGACCCAATCCAAAATCGGCGTCTGACATAAATATATACATCTCAGATGAAGTACAAATTGAAAATAAATGCATGAACAATGTTCAACCTCACTGACCATTGAAGAGATACAGACGAAAACAATGCTGAGATTCCATGTCACTCCAGAAAGAATGGCTATTATCGGCAAATTAACCAATTACAAATGCTGGCAGGGCTATAGGGAGGAAAGTAACACTTCTTCACTCCTGGTGGGAGTGTAGTCTGGTGAAATCACTGTGGCAATCAGTGTGGAGATTCCTCAAAAAACTAGGAGTAGAGATTGCATTTGATCCAGGTATTCCCCTTCTTGGTATCTTCCCAGAAGAATTAGAAGCATCATACCACAGTGATACATGTGCACCCATGTTTATAGCAGCACAGTAATAGCTAAATCTTGGAAATAGCACAAGTGCCCATGAGAACATCAACGGATAAAAAAGATGTGCTTTTTTATCAACACAGTTCTACTGTGCCACAAAGAAGGATACATTGGAGACATTTATAGCAAAATGTGTGGACCTTTAGATGATACTTTTATGTGAAATAAAATGGACACACCTGAGTAAACATTGCATTATCTCTCTGGTGTGAGAAACTGAAAGTGTACTAAGAAAAGAAGGTCTAATAAAATAAGAATCAGAATGTCTAATAGGTATTGTGAAATAGGAAGTATTTATTCAGGTTGAAAGAGGATTTAAGGGGATGATACAGAAAAGAAAATAATGAGAAAGAAAAGGATAAAACAGGAACAAACTTTATAAATGAGGAGGGAGAGAGGGGTTGGAAGGAGATGGGGCAATGTATAGAAAAGAACTAGGATGTGTGATGTACAGGTACATATTCCCAATGTTGAATGTGATCATTATGCATACCTAAGATTGTGCCAGTAAATTTAATTAGAATAAAAAATGTTGACCCGCCATAGTAGGGTCTGGCTTATAGGAGTATGTCATAAAATTGATATTAGGTAATGGGAAGAAAACGTTCAAATGAGAAGGGGAACAAGGAGGAGGAGGCTGAAAGGTTTCGGTTTGCGGTGCTGGATCATCTAGAACTCACTGTGTGACTCAAACTTGCCATGATCTGCCTGCCTCAGTTTTCTGAGTGCTGGGATTACCATGGGGTACCTCCATGCCTGACAATAAATATTTCTTAATAGTTTAGACATCAAAGGAAATTCTCTCATCATTAGAAAGGTTATATTTTGGAAATCCATTGTTAATAGTATCATTCATGGGGAAAACTGAGCTTTTCCTCCAAAATCAGAAGAAAGGCAGGGATGCCCACTCTTCTCCACTTCTTTTTAACGTAGCACTGACAGCCCTTAGCAAGAACAGTTAAGCAACCAATAAAAGAGGTCCACAATGAAAAAGAAGTAAAATTATTCCTTCTTGCAGGTAACATAATCATATATATTTAAAACACCTCAAAATTGTTAGATTAGTGAGGATGTAGGCCATAGAATCCATGTAAATAATCTGTGGTATTTCTCCATATAAATAATGAGTTAGAACAAAAGGAAATTGAGAAAGTAATTCTATTATTGATATAATCAAAATAGACAGGAATAAATTGAAGGTGCTGAAAGTTTGGTACACCAAAAATTATAAAACATTGGTAAAAGCGATTAAAGAACACATGAGAAAATGGGAAAAAATATGCCTTGCTCATGTATCAGAAGAATTTTTTTTAGTTTTCTATCCTGCCATAAAGCAAAATGTAGATTCAGTGCCATCTGTATCGAAATGAGACCATAAATTTAAGTGAAACAGATAAGACTGAAGTTAAGTCTACATCCATACTACCCTGAACGTGCCTGATCTGGTCTGAAGTTAAATATGGCAAGTATCTCTTACATGAGAAATCCAAATTATAGATTAAAAAATAATAAAAGATAGGTAATATGAAATAGAAAGATAAATCTTTCTCAAGTGGGAGCAGGATCAAGAGACAGAGAAGAGGGGAGAGGAGAAGAGAAAGAATTAAGGTGTTTTATGCAGTTGTACCAGCTCCACACAAGAAATGTAAACATTATATACTGTTATATCTTTAGAACATACACTAATTTTAAACATTCTAAAAACACAGCTAAGGAAGGAAAGAAGAGGAAGGGAAAGGAAAGGAAGGAAAGAACGAAGAGAAACCAAGCAGAAGTGGTATGAACACGGAGAAGCACCTCAAGCCTACTGCACCATGCACACATCTGAATTTCTGCAGCTAGCATCTACTTTTGGCACTGTTGTCACCAAGCCCAAGGTAAAGGCTGAAGGGGACAAGAATAAAGTTAACAACACAGTGAAGATCCGCAAGAAAGTCTGCTAAATGTTTTCCTCTCAATCAGAGCCTAAGCCTCAATGCCCCCTGCAAGGACAGGAGAGAAGTTTCCAGAAGAGAAAAAAGAAAAATCCAGTACTGGCAGTGTTGAGAATAAGCCTGCAAAAAGAGAAGCATTCAAAGCGGATCATGCTAACATGGAAATACCATGACTTTTTTATGAGAAGTATCTTTAACAAAAGTGGACACAATTCAGCTAGAAAGTAATAGAAAAAATTATAAAACTTACAAAACATTGCAATTACTAAACTCATAGGTAAAAGAACTGAAATACATTCTTCTGAATTAAAATTACAATACACAGATATAACAGTTAAAACAGAGTAATATTATAAAAATCATATAGGCAAATGGAACAAAATACAAAACTCAAAAATAAATACAAATAATTTTCAACAAAGACACCAACAAGACATAATTGTGGAAGAATTTTCTCTTTAAGAAATGGTGATGGGGAATCTGGTTTTCTACACACAGAAGGATGAAGTTAGGTCCTTGTTCTACACCACTCATAAAAAACTCCTGAAAGTGTGTGAAAGATCTTAATGTAAGACCCAAAACCATAAAACTCCCAGTAGAAATCGTAGATGAAAAACTCCTTGTTGTTAGCCTCGGCAATAATTTCTTCAGTGACTTCAAAAGCTCAGGTTGCATACAACATAAATAAAAATAAGTAAATGGGACTCTACCACATTATAAAGCTTCTTCTCGGGGCATAAAACAACAAAATGAAAAACAAGTTACAAAGTGGGGAAACATATTTGCAAATTGTGTGTCACAGAAGGGGTCGATATTCAAGATTTATAAAGAACTTATACACTTCAACAGTAGTAAAACACATCAGTTGATCAAATGCTGGGCAATGACTTGAATAGGTAGATATTCTTCACAAATAAAAAAAAAAGGCCAACAGGAAGATCGAAAGGTGCTCAATATTTCTAATCATCTATGATATGCAAATCAAAACCACCATGCCTGTTATGACAACTGTTATCAAAATGAAAAGAGGACCATTGTCCACTACAGCTGTCAGGAAGATTTGTGCGGACATTATAGAAAATAATATAAGTGACTCTTAAAACCTGAAAATAGAACAATCATATGACCTAGCAATCTCTTCTCTGCCTACATACCCAAAGCAAATTAAACTATCCCCTCATAAGGACATCTGCCCTCCCATGATTATGGTAGCATTTTTCACCATAGACAAAATCTGGAAACACCATCAGTAGAGCAGTGAATTGAAAAACAGAACAAAGAAACAAGCAAACAAACAATGTGTTGAGCCAAGTGTGGTGATACACAACTGTAGTACCAGCCCTCTGGGAAATTAATGCAAGATGATTGGAAATTTCAGCCCAGCATGATTAACTTAGTGAATTAGCAATACTGTATTTGAAAGTTAAAGTAAAATAAAATAAAATAGGTTCAGGATGGAGCTCATTGTGAAGGACTTGGTGTGAAAGTCCTAGGTTCAATTCCCAGTACTGCAAAAAATGAAATGAAACAAAATGAAATGGAAAAAGAAAAGGAGGTCTGGCTACTGGTCACAACACTGAAAAACCAGGAAGATATGACGCTACTGAAATAAGTAAGACACAGATAAAAATATTTCATAAGCTTACTTAGGTGTGAAATCTAAAAAAAACATATATAATACAGTAACTATCAGAATCAGTTATTAGAAGAAGATAATCTGGAGGTGTAGATCAGAGGATAAAAAGTAGTAAATATATAGGATGGAAAAGTTAAAAGTTAAAATCTACAACCTGGGGACTGTAGTTAATTTTATTAAAGAATTTTTTTAAAAAAAAATAGATAATAGCTGCTGTTGCCACAGGGGGAAATATTGGTAAGGGAGATGATATATGTGTTATTTTTTCCACTGTAGTAAATATATCTCTAGATTTCTGCATATATGCAATAAAATTTACTTTTAAAGACAAAAAAGAAAAAAGAAAATTATGCAAACACTAAAGAAAGAAAACATACAACTCTTTTCATTTAGAATAACTAGAGAATTTTCTAACAAGAATAAAAAAAACTGATTAAAGCAAATGCTTTGAGGAATTCTGGGTTGTAGTAAAATCTTACCCTAGTTATCAACACAAGGTTGTATTAGTTTAAGAAAATCACCAAAATTTCCTTGTTAAATGGTAACTTACAGAGTTTAACATAAAATATTTTGATATTTTATAGAGATAATTGTAATATATTTTTGGAGATAATCACATCCAAGGTTTATAATTTTGGTGATAAAATGATCCATGTGTAAAAGTAGGTAGGAATAATTATTCTGTGAAGAATTAAACTACAGTAAACAAAACAACTTAGTTTTTTCAATAATAGTGTAAAAAATACATTGCAAATGACTAATTTTTCATCCTTGCCTAAAGGAAATTTTAGAAATTTATTAAATTTTCTCTTTTTATTTTACAAAGAATTTTACTGAGTGGAGGAAATGGTGAGAATCCAGATGTGTATTTTCTAATTATAGTAATGTTCCTTTTTCTATTAAAGTGGACAAGGCGTTACTTTTAATAAATGATTTCTTGACCCATAATACGAAAATTCATGTACCATTACTAGTACTCAATCTTAGCACTTTCTTTTTTATTTAGTAAAATATACAATAAAAATAAGATTGTAGTTTACTTATGCATATATTTTTGAAAATTAAATATAGCATTAACAGTAAGATGAAAGATGAAAAGAAATTTTGTAGCAAAAATAATATGCAATTACTAAAAGACTCTTCCTACAGAAAAATACCCAAAGGTCTTCCAAGGTACTTTTACATGTAAATTCTATGATAAATAAGCATACAAAATCTTTTACATTTGATATTATAACAATTATATTTTATACAAATATTCTTCTACTTAAATTTTCCTAAGAGTTAAATGAAAGCTTTAAAAATCTATGTACATTCTCTCCTTTTCCAGGCTAATATTAGTATTCTTGTCTACACATTTGTTTGTCTGTGCAACAGAGATTCTACAGTGAAAGTTAAGGGAAAAAACAACAAAACAATGAGCATACTAAAAGTATCTTCTCCATAGAGTGAAAGCATTGTAAAACTACAGAACCTTTCAATTTACGAGGTTTGTTGAAGATCAACATTTATTAAAATTACATTTTCTTAGATCATATATACATTTAGTTTCTTCTTGAATACATGCAGAAATATCTCATCAACTTATGGACTGTTAAGGAATAATAAACCAACCTGAACTCTGGAAAGATAATAATTCATCTAAACCTCACATTTTCATGAGATTTTTGAACCTCCTTGGCAGAGAATATTGATTCTGTCCTTCTGAACATGTGGAAAGCTGATAACCATATTTAAGATGACTTGCCAAATTGCAAATGACAAGCTATACCTGAATATTCCTTTTCCTCATGAATACATTGTTTCCTCTTCATTTCCAGGAACACTCATATAATTAATGGCTCTATGATACAGGTTAGATCCCAAACTTTGCATTGTGCTTTTTACCTCAGGACTTATCATTCACAGAACATGCAGTGTCCCCAGAAAGTCCTTCCAGGGAGCAATACTGCTTGCTAGCGCTGAATCAAATTTAAATCTCCTGAGACTCGCAGTGAAATTGCTTGTTCACCTGATTATTTTATGCAGCTAATGATTTTGCAATAACACATTCAGTTGAATAATTATACAAGAGAGATGCTGAATGCCCATCTTCTCTAGATTAGAATAATTTATAAATGCAGTTTTTCTTTCCCATTAAACAGCACCACCTTTTAATGAGATAGAAGCACAACGAGGTAGGCAAAATGATACATTAGCTAGCATGAGAAAGAAAATACAATTTGGGCAGGCAGAAATTTTCCTTGAATACTTGTCAAGAGAAAGGATTTTTGTTTATCATCAGAGAGTAATATATCTTTAAGAGTCCCGACAATATCATTCATTTACAAATAAATACACAGAAATATTTATATATATATACTTAAAAAGAAACAAATGGTTGCCTAGGAAACTTATGTGTGGTCCATTTTGTATGCATGATTAGTAGCAAAGCCATGTTCAAAAATTTTCAATCATGTCTTCCTTTCCTCCTGACATAGACTAAACATTGTTTCTAGAACCTAGATGGTACATATGTTACTTCCTACTGTAGAACTTAAAGGAAGTGATTTTGTCTGCCTTTTTCTCTCCTATGCTCATACTGTGAGTGTGTTCTCTTTTTAATTTTTAATTTTTTGCCACATTACCCCTCTTTAAGCTGTTTCAATCTGACAGTCCAGTGCTAATTATGAAGGCCCTATTGTGATGCCAGATGGTGGAACTCTTCATCTCTCTTGTGGGTGCCTGGCCATGGGCCATATGTTATTCAATTCTAGTGTTTAGTTCAACTGTGAAATGAGAATTGGTTACAACATGCTACTTTTGAAATAGCAGCACATAATTTTATAATGGCCTTGATAAAAATGTGACAGTAGAATTAATTAAAGAAATTTAAGAAAATACTACACAGTTTAACTAAATGCTTCTGCTTCATAAAATGTTTTTATTCATAAAAATGTACATATTTTTTAACCCAAAAATTTAAGAAGTTTTTTCTTTTTATAAGTTTGGGATCAGAACCAACACTAAGAATACCTTTAAATCAAATAATCATTCCCCTACTTTGTGTTTATATAACCAGAGCTTCAAACAATGAGTTTATCATGCATAATCCTCATCTCTATAGGAAAATAATTTAGTTGCATATATGTATACAATCTAATTACACCATTAATGTGTTCAAAACTAGTAATTTATAGCATGTATTATGTGTGTTGTCTTGTTTGCTACTACAGAAATGGAGATTGGTTGGTTGTTTAAGTAGGATTTCTCTAATCTCACTTTAACCACGGTGGATTTATTTTTATCAAGATTGTGCACCAAAGAGGGTTTAATCATTGAATATCAGATATAGGATGTGAGGCAAATAAAGCTTATCCATTTTTACTGAAAATTCATGATTCAGTGACTCTGGTGGTACTTACATTTTTGAAGTGAAGGAGAAATATATATACATATATATAAATATATAATCAAAATATGTGATTATTTCAAGACATATATAGATCCTTGTTATGAGATGTGACAACGTGGGTCAATAGAAACATAGTACACCAATTTTAGACTATAACAGGTCTCAAGGTTGTAAGAAATGTAGTGGGATCAAAGTTATGAATATTCCCTGAATTTCAACACTGACAAGGTGGGAGAAGTTCTCTAGCTGCATAGTCCGCAGTGTGTTCAGAGTAGAGAGGCACTGTCTGAGTTCAGTGGTGGAGCCAAGTGAAGACAGTAGAAAGAGCCATCCTGAAGGACGCATAAGGATTCTATGGGTCTTTACCAATAATGGGGGCATTCTTAAATGGGAAATTAAAAACTAGTTAATGTTAACTTACTCTTCCTGGAACAATCTGGGGAGGTCTAAAATATTTCCAGTTTTATTCAATGATCAAAAATGTTTTATCACTCTATGGTTTATGTACTTCATTAAGTCTATAAAAAGCCATTTTCTTTGAAAATTCTGATGATTATCTATTAGATCATCATAATCCTTTTTCTAATAAAAAGGATAAAAAAGCATTTACAAAATAGGAAATTTTATTTTAAAAGTTGATCAACATTGTTATTTCCCTGGTAACCATTATTGCTGTGTAGTCATAAGCTATAAAATATTCTGACTATTATTATAGAGGTGACATTTTTATTTTAAATCCTCAAATATCCAAACTGGATAAAAGCCTAGAATGCTTGCCTTCTATTGAGCTGCTTTCAAAACTTAGCTGTATGATTATTGAAATGTGTTACTTGGAACATATTTCTTAATCCCTCATGTCTCATTTGCTCAGCCATATAATGGGGAGAACTGATGAACCAAATTCAAAAAGGCTCTTAGCTCTGTATTAAGTATTTAACAATCAGAGAATAAATCACAGTGATTCCATAGGAATTCACATAGGAACACATAGCTTGATAAAGGAAACCAAGACTTCATTGAGGCCAGCCAGGTAGGAAAATGTTGGAAAGATATTTTCATAGCCAATTTAAAATTACACTGCAAAGACAGATGTCAGTTATGTACACATAAGAGACACCTGGTGATTTTCTAAACAATTAGTAAAAGATAGAATTATTAATTGTTTAATGAGTTCACACTGACAACCATTAGCCACATGTTCATAATTTAAATTGCTTCTCCTGGTATTTTGATCACTGCAGTAGGATAATTTCTGATCTTTAGAATTTATGCAACAGCTTAATGAATTTTTGCAAGATTCATTTCCAAAACATGGAGCTGTGAAATGTTAAAGTATGTCTCATTCTTTTCAGAAAATGAACAACCCTGGGGTTGAAATTGGAAAGTCGCATCAGAAATGTCACAAAGGGGGTCATTTTCCTGTAATACATCACATTTTTGTTTAGACTGAGTGTGATAAAGAGAGCAAGAAAAAATAATAAATGATATGGCTCATTCTTAATGCATTTTTACTCTAAAATACCCCACAGCTATCTGTTACCTGTATGTCAGCTTATTGCAAATGAATGACATTTTTCTCCTCCATTTGAAAAGAAATGTATTGAAGAGCTGAGCAAAGTTTATTTAAAAACATATAATGGTACTAATAAAGCACCTATTTAAATACTAAATGTTCATTTTTTGCTTGGATTAGGTCTTCAGCTATTTAATGTAAGCTCTTGACAACCCTTACTGCTCAAAGTGAGTCAGAAATCTAGACTGTGACTATAACAGATGGGTGACATAAAATTGTATCATTTTTTTGAATAAATCTAGAATATGAAGCATGCACAACCAGAAAGCCCATCATTGAGATTGCAATGCAATTATGTCTGTGTTCAGCCATTTATTTTTGTAAGTGTTTATTTCTTGTTTTTGTATATATTTATAGTTACAAACATTCTGAAAATTTACTCAACAGCAGAGCCATATTGTGAAAGAGAATGTAGAATAAAAGAAGAAGGGCTTTATTCTATTCAAGGATATCCATATAGTCCATGGTGTTGACTTGACAGAGGGAGTCATCAAGGAGTAGGAATGTAGATATTTTCCTTCTCAATCTCATTAGCATATAGGTCGGCCCCAACCGGGCTGAGCCCCAGACATCTTCAGGGAGTGCGGTGAGTCACAGCTTGGCCTCTCTTACCTGTGTGCAATGCAGGTGAAACTTTGGGCACCCTCTGGGGTCTCAGTGGCTACCCAGCCACATACTTAGTGAGTCTTCTGGGGCTGGGCTGAACACCAGGCACCTTTGCAAATCCTAGTGAGCCATTCTGGTGCCTCCCCAACTAGTATGAGGCATGTGGATCCCTGGGGCCTTGTCGGTCACTACCAGAACAACTCATACCCCCCTGGGAGCCTAGCCGACACCTGGACATAGTCAGTGGCCTCAGGGAATTCACTCTTACCCCTCCCCTTCCAGTGTGGGAAGCAAGCTCTGTCCTGGGCAATATCTGAAGCCTCGGTGAACACGACCAGCATGTCACCCTACTCTTATGGAACCTGGGCCAAACCCCAGACAGTCTAAGGAATGCCGGCAGGGCTCCTCCAACCTTTCCACATACTCCTGTGAGCCAAATGAATACAAGAGAAGTTGGAAGCATCTGGGACCCCACCTTGCACAGGAGCTATACTGAGCCCTGAGGATCTTCAGACTATCATCCCGCCACTCTCACACAATCAGGAGAGTGAGGCTGCACTCCAGGAAGCCTCTAGAGCTTCAAAAATTACAAAATGAAGGAGAAAAATGCAATCTTAGACCTCCACATTGCCCAAAACAAGTCCAGAAGACATCAACACAGAAGAACCTGGAAGTCACACACCTGAAATTTCTGAAATGATAGCAACTGAAGTAAAGAAACGACTCCATCAGGCCATGGAAGACATCAGATTACAAATAACATCCCAGGTAAAAAAAAGAAATGACAACAACAATGAAAGGAATGTTCAGCATATCCAAAGATGGCATTGACAAGAAAATAGAAGAGCATAGACAACTCATGGAAACCTTCAGTGAACAATATAAAATGAACTACAAAGTACGAAAAAAATGCAAACAGATATCCAGGAAATTAAAAATTCCATTGAAAGCTTGCAAAACCATCTGAACAAAGCTGAAAGTAGACTTTCAGACCTTGAAGACAGCATTGCCACTAATGAACGTGAAAGGAGGGATCTCTTAAAAACAGCAAGAAACCAGGAAATAAAAATTCAACAACTGCAAGATGAAGCAAAGAAAAACAATCAGATTAATAGATATTAATGAAACAGCAGGTGTCAACACAAATGACATAAAAAGACTATTTGCAGAAATAATAGCAGAAAATTTCCCAGGCATAGGAAAATAATCGGACATCCAGATAAGCAAAGCATATAGAACTCCAGTTAATGCTAACCAAAATAAATCTTCACCCAGACATATAGTGATCAACATCCCAGAAACTCAGTGAAAGCTCAGTATATTAAACACTGTTAGAGAAAAGAAACAGATCATTTATAAATGAAAGCCTATCAGAATCAAGGCAGACTTCTCAACACAAACCTTGAAGGCAAGAAGATCTTGGAGTGAAGTAGTTCAGGTACTCAAAGAAAACAACTGCCAACACAGATTGATGTACCCTGCAAAGCTATCTTTCAAATTTAGTGGAGAAATAAAATATTTTCATGACAAAGAACAACTGAAGAAATTCATGCATGTCAAACCAACCCTACAAAGAGTACTAAAAGATATTCTAAAAAGAGATAAAACAGACCGCAACCTCAAGAACAACAGAAAGGAACCACCAAGCAGAGCAAGCAATTAAACAGAGGGAAAAAGGAGGATCCAACACCAGGAAAATACCATGACAAAGATAAGCCAGCACATATGAGTTATAACCATCAGTGTAAATGGTCTCAATGCACCAACCAAAAGAAGCAGACTAGCAGAGTGGATTAGGAAAAAAAAAAAACTGTGCTATTCTGTTTGCAGACAATGTGAGCTTCAAACCAAGAACAATCAAAAGAGATAAAGATGGTCATTACATACTTGTGAGGGGGAAGCTTCAAGAGGAAGAGATAACAATCCTAAACATCTATGCACCAAATATAGGAGCACCCACCTATGTAAGACAAATTCTAACAGATGAGAAAAATGAAATAAATAGCAACACAATCATAACAGGGGACTTTAACACACCATTGTCACAAAGAGAGAGATCAACTAGGCAAAAGATTGGGAAAGAAATAACAGCACTTAACCAAATGTGTGAACATAGGGACTTAGTAGCCCTTTACAGAGTGTTCCACCCAGCAGCATCAGAATACACATTCTTCTCAACTGCACATGGGACATTCTCTAAAATAGACCGTATACTAGTACATAGAACATGTTTAAGTAAATGTAAAGGAATTGAAATTATCCCATGTATACTATCAGATCATAGTGCAATGAAATTAGAAGTTAATGACAAAAGAAAACACAAAAACTCCATAAACAGTTGGAAATTAAATAACAACCTCCTGAACAACCAATGGATCACAGATGAAATCAAAGTAGAGATTAAACACTATTTACAATCAAACAAAAATTTACATACAACCTACAGGAACCTAAGGAATGCAATGAAAGCAGTCCTCAGAGGGAAATTTATAGCGGTGAACTCCCACCTCAGTAAAACAGAACAAGTACAAACAATCTTATGATGCACCTCAAGTTGTTAGAATAAGAAGAGCAAGTCAACACAGATCCCAAAGAAGACAGGAAATTATAAAGCTCACAGCAGAAATTAACACAATGGAGACTCAAAAAACAATACAAAGGATGAATGAACTGAAGAGTTGATTCTTTGAAAGAATAAATAAAATAGATAAGCCCCTAGCCAACCTTATCAGGAAAAGGAAAGAAAAAATTGAAATACATGCAATAAGGAGTGAAAGGGATGAAATCACTATAGATCCTAAAGAAATTCAAAAGATCATCAATACATACTTTGAAAACCTTTACTCTCATAGGATGGAAAACAAAGAGGAAATGGACAGATTTCTGCACGCATATGAATTACCAAAGCTGAATGAAGAAAATAAAAATCCTGAATAACTCAATATCAGCCAGGGAAATTGAGAATGTAATCAAAAACTTGCCAATGAAGAAAAGCCCAGTTCCTGATGCATTCACAGCTGAATTCTACAAGCAATTTAGGGAAGATTTAACATGAATTCTTCTCAAAATCTTTAATGAATTTGAAAGGGAAAGAATTCTCCCCAACTCATTCCTGGATGCAAGTATCCAGATACCAAAACTAGAGAAAGACCCAATCAAGAAAGAGAACTACAGGCCAATCTCTCTAATGAATGGAGATGCAAAAATTCTCAATAAAATACTAGCAAACAGTATAACAAATCATCAAGAAGATTACACACCACGACCAAGTGGGATTCATCCCAGGAATGCAGGGATGGTTCAATACATACAAATCAATTAATGTAATACACCATGTCAGTAAAGCCAAGGACAAAAATCATATGATCATCTCCATCAATGCAGAAAAAGCCTTTGATAAAGTTCAACACTCACTCATGATGAAAACCCTACAGAAAATAGGAATAGATGGCTGTTACCTCAAGCTGATCAAAGCCATCTATGATAAACCAACAGCTAACGTCATAATAAATAATCAAAAATTGAAAGTTTTCACTTTAAAATCAGGAACAGGACAAGGATGTCCACTGTCAGCACTCCTATTCAATGCAGTTCTAGAAATATTAGGTAGATCAATTAAACAAGAGAGAGAAATAAAAGGAATTTGCATAGGAAAGGAAGAAGTGAAATTATCATTATTCACAGATGACATTATATTCTACATAGAAGACCCCAAAAACTCCACCAAATGGCTCACGGATTTAATAACCAAATTCAGTAACATAACTGGATACAAAGTTGGCATGCAAAAATCAATAGCATTCCTGTACACAAGTAACAAACAGACTGAGAGAGGAATTAGGGAAATCACACCTTTCACAATAGCCTCTAAAAAGATGAAATACTTAGGAATCAATCTAACAAAAGAAGTAAAGGATCTATACAATGAAAATGGTAGTACTCTGAAAAAAGAGATCAAAGAGGGTATCAGAAAATGGAAAGATACTACTTGCTTATGGACAGGAAGACCCAACACTGTGAAAATGGCCATACTCTCAAACTTGTTGTATAGATTCAATGCAATCCCAATTAAAATATCATTAGTATACCTCACAGACCTGGAGAAAACATTCCTAAAGTTCATCTGGAACCAGAAGAGGCCTAGAATAGCAAAAGCAATATTGGGAAACAAAGGAAAGGCAGGAGGAATCACAATTCCTGACTTAAAATTATATTATAAAGCTGCTGTGATAAAATCAGCATGGTACTGGCACAAAAACAGACCTGAAGATCAATGGAGCAGATTAGAAGA